ATACTGTATCTTTTTTAGATAAGATTGAACTATGGCCTACTGTAGATCTGTTCATGCCATACTGTCCAGCAACATTAGGCATCTTCTGCCCACTCTCTACCTTTGCTATTATACTCTCACCATTCGAAAATAAAAACAGATGCAAAACTTAATGAGTGCCTACCCGACAGTCTCGCAAATACATAAAAGAATTGTTTTGTCAGAAAAATAAAAGGCTGAAATTACAAGGGAGAGTTTCAAAGTTTGGAGGAGTACTATCCGATTGGTATATACCAGCTTGAGCGTAGATGTCGACGTCTCCCACGCTCCGAAAGGTTTCGAATTGTTGCCCTAAGACAAGGGAAGACCAATCGGTATTCATTATTTTACTTCGCTTCTTCTTGTGTTTGTTCTGTGGGGTGTTCGTAGTCCAAACATAAAAATCTTTCACAAAAGTGTTCGTTAACTGATCACCCACTATATATACGAAACATACTAATACATGTTCTGATATTCACTGATGAGTTCATTGGTGCAGTAACCAATGGATGACTTGGGCTCTGACAAAGCAAAATTTCAGAGTTATATTATTATTATTAACTCCATCTTTACTACTCATCTATATTAACCAAAAGTTATTTTGACAAAATAGTCTGCAAATGCCAATGTAAAGCTGTTTGTTTCTGCCATTTTGTTAGGTTGCCAGATAGTCTGGTAAAAGTTCACTAAACTAGTGGTATGCAAACTATTTTCATTTCCAATCCCCACTTTGTGTAAAATTTTGTCATGGCCCCTGGATAGACAATAGACATTTACTGTGCTGTGACTATACTGTTGCACTGCAAGGTAAATATGCGTGTCAACATGTATTTCTGGCTAAGAAAGCAGCAAAAAGAACCAATAACATATAGTAAAATACCAATCCAAGCACTTAAGCAAAAAATTAAAGAAATAATTGATCAAAGATGGCAAGAAGAATGGGAACACTCAAACACAGGTAGAACTTTGTATAGTTTCATACCGACGATCGCTGCCAGAAGAGCATGTAGACATCTTAAACCTACTTACAAAATAGCTCAATGTTTACTAGCACATGGTAACTTTAATAAACATCTCTTTTGATTTGAAAAAAGAAATATGACAAGTGCGATACAGACAGTGACAGCGTTGATGACATGACACATTACTTATTCCAGTGCAGCAAATACAAACATACTCCTGATAACTTTATGAGACAATGTGTTTTGGCTAGCTCAAATTGACTGCCAAAGAGCACAGCAATTGTGCAAAATAAAATGTTATACAATAACCTCTGTAAATTTATAAAAGCAAAAAAAAAAAAAAACTGTCTACAAGAAAACAGTCAGAATATCCATGAAAAGACAGTGGTATTATACATTAAAATCCAGTTGCCACTATTATAACTATAACACACACCTAACTTCCAGATTAATTAATTTAATTTAATGTAAAATTAAGAGAGGACCAATGAGGTTCATATTGTCCAAAACACATCCTCTGGAATCAATAAAGACTGTATATCTAACTTTGTTGTGTTCCTATAGAATTTGTTCTCTCAAGCAATTTTATGCTTAATCCTAACAAAATAAAGAACAAGAAGTAATCAAGTACATATGTAATATTATTGTAAGTTTACCAATTATTATTAGTATAACATGCAAACAGATTGTAAGCATAACTCACAACTTGGTGAGTTATAATCGTAAGCTCAAACAGGCATATGGAAAGCAAAGGGTCAGTGCCATTTTGACCATTAGACAAACCTAGGCATGTGCCTAATATCCAAGAAATGAGAAACCCAAAAAGATGAAAAAATTAAGAATAGTACTATTTTACAAAAATCATTAAATCTTTTTATAAATAATAAGTAATATATCTGTTATACTGTACATTTTTATTACATTTAAATTAATAATACCCCAATCCATCAGCTAGCCAATTAAGAAAACATAATTAATATTTCCTAAAATTATTCATATTCTAACCACTCCACAAGGTCAAATTTTTGTCAAATGATTTACAACAATGATCAGAAGAGCAATTTCAAAACAAACTTTTCAATTTTGTGAAGTTGAAAACAAAAGTAATTTCTAACCCAGTCAAATTGTACAAATTCATTACAGATTGCAAATTACAATCCACATTCCAAACTTGTTTATCTTTACAGTAGAACCCCTCTAATCCGTCGCCTTTGGGACTGGGGATATGGTCGGAACGCAAAAAAGGTCGGATTATCAGAAAAAAATAAAATAAATGATCTTCCCTTTGTCCAGTCTTTGTAGCACTGCTAATTTTTCATTTAATGAAAGAGTAACGTATTTACGTTTCACTCCTGACATGTTGAAAACACACACAAAACTGTACACATACACACAATGTAAAACATATACTGTAACAAACACAGAAGAATGCCATGGACGGTGAGTCACTGACGAGTCGGGACAAGTTTCTCAACTCCGACCACGGTCGGATTAACCGGAGTGACGGACTAGCCGAGGGCAGACTAGAGGGGTTCTACTGTATTCACATTTACTTTAATGCTCCCCTCAAGTAATGATAGCAGAGAAAGGCCATTTTCAGGTTTAAGAGAGTAAAAATCTATATGCACAGCACAATGGTACATACTTGATTAGTTAAATTCACTTGCAATATTGTCTACTGATGTGGTAATTACCAGAAAAGTTTTCCTTCAATAAAGCATAAAAAAACTTGTTCATACTTTAATAAAAGACTCTGTCATGCCAATATGTGTTTTTTGATTTGATTCTGACCTGTTCAGGTTGTATTGTAAATGTAAATAAAAAATTAAGAAATTAAAATTGACAATAAGTGTATTTTCTTTGCTGAATATTTAATTATGGGTAATTGGGTATATGGATGGGTCCAAATTCACCTTTGTGTCTCAGGCCCAAGATACTAAAGGTGTGTTTGTAAAGTTTTTTAACTTTATGAACATACCCTTAGCAGTATCTTTAAATGAATGTTTGCCTAGCTGGTCCTAAAGTAATGATAAATTGCAGATTTGAATGAGGCAGTTGGGACCTTATCAAAACTACGATCATGCCCATAAGAGTAAAATAAATCATAGTGGCATATTGTCCTAGGGGCATTGCTTAGGCCCCCAAACCAATCTTTTATAAACTGCAGTAAGAATATTTAAATTTAAATTTTGGACAAATCTGGGAACCCTAGATTGCTGGTGTGGCACAGATACAGTGAACACTGTAGCAGCACAGAACTTAACCACTCTGCAGTGATCAATGGATATACCCGTCAAGGACGATCACGTAGCACTGGAGAACGACATCTATACAGTAGAGCGTCGTTTATCAGAAAGAATTCCAATCGGCAAATTTAAATTTTTGCTGGTGCTGTGGCGCTGCAATCTTTGCCTATATCTTGGGCTACTCCAATATTTTTTTTTTGTTGGTGTGTGTGTTTTAGCTGGCAGCACTGACACTATTGTGTGATGTTTTTCTGAGGACTGTGTGTCGTGTTGAATCGAACGTTTTTGATAGTAGATCAACTTCTAAAGTATATTTTTTTCGGTTTTTATATTTTTCAATATATTTATTTTATGTGTACAAAATAAAAAAATAATTATTAATGATACAATAGTCTTCATTAGGCTTAACATCGATGAAAATTGAACACAAAGCGATACACAACGGAGAAAAATTTCAACACGTGACAGGTTAATATATTTTTTCCTACATAATCGGTTATCCGAACAACCCCATTCCCCAATTGATTCGGATAAACGACATCTGCAAAAAAAGCTTGCAGATATTGCCAAAAACTACTGTGAAAAAAAGTTCACATAAAAAAGGAATTATATGACAATAAAGAAAGATTTTTCTTTAATAGCCATAACTGTTTAAAAAATTTTTTCTGATCGGCAATTTACTACACCGGGTTAAAGTAAATACAAAATCAACAAACCAGGAACCTGTTTCCGGTGTGCTTCTAGGTAAAACAAAGTGTTACAAACGTTTTCGAACTTGTAACATTTTGAACGGCATTCGCTTAGATGTCGGTTACCTGAAGAAGAACTTACAAGTTCGAAAACGTTTGTAACACTTTGTTTTACCTAGAAGCACACCGGAAACAGGTTCCTGGTACGTTGATTTTGTATTTAAATTTTTTCTGAAACAGAAACAAGAAAAATGCATGGGAAAATTCTTAAAAAATTTCCCACATTTATTCTCTACTACATCGTGATAGTGCCATATCTGACTAACCCTCTCTACAAAGATTAACCCTCCAGAAGTTGTATTAAGAAAACAAACAAGGTTACTGGGGATTCTCCCCAAAAAATTTTCATAAAAGAAAAGTTTCTGAAGTCAACACCACACGTGGCTCTAATTCAAATCTGCTTTGGCCCCACGAAGTTATGTGAAAAGTCAGGAACTGATGGTCTAAATATTACCCTTTATGAAATATAGCCCCCAAAATCAGGTAGTACATGTGATATGCTTAAAAAAGCAGGGAGCACAACTCCAATCATGCCTCAAAAGTAATCTGTACAATGGCGTTTCTTACATTTTAGGAGCTTGTAGCAACCTCTAGTAAAGCGGAAAACATTTCATTTTTAGCATTGTTTGGAAAAATAGTTCTGGATTTTTTCACTTTTTAAATCTTACCACAGTTTTGAGAGTTTGAAAAATTACAGATAGGATGATTTCAAAGGCTAAATCTCACTCTACATAGACAATTGGTCCCTTTGTTTTATGGCCATGGGCATGGTCTACAGCTCCAATAAGGTACCGCAGCAGTTGGAAACACAGAATTTGACCATCTTTCCCAATCAACATGACATCAGACCACGGCTAACTCAATTTTTGGGTAGACGCATTTCTGTCTAGTCACTTGTCTGGTGGTGAACCCAAACCATCATTAGCAGCTGACATGATTGTAACTTATAGATATCCTGGAAAATAAATTTAGGCAACTACCAATGGATTCTCTCATCTGTCCTGAGATCATTTATTTGACCCTACATCGAGGCTACTCCTGGATGTAATTGGATGATCCACACGACTGATTCTTTCATCAAGGAATGCACCTTAGTGGCCTCCTCAATACAAACCACCCCATTTAAAGCTGCAATTTTACCATATTTGGCTCCTCTGATAACAGTTTGCTCATCCCTGTTATATTTAGAAATCACTAAATAATGTGATAGTTTTTCAAATAGTTGACCATAAAACTTGTACTCAAATTCCTTTGGAATTTAGGAATGTTACGTAAATGAATACACGTATTTTTTTTCCTCCATAACGAATGAATTTTCAAAACAATATGAAAATTATCAAGCTGATTATCAATATCAAAACACGTTCATTCAAACGCCGAAATCGCTTAAACTATTAATAGAGCTGTCAGTATATACACGAACACAAATTCTTAGAATTCTTGAGCTTAATCTAAATTAATTAAAATATTTTAAAATACTTTACGCCATATTTATAGTTCAACAGAATTTCAAAAATAAATCAAAATTTTTGACCTGTTAACTAAAGTTAACGTAAAATTACCTTTATATCTTTCATATTCATATCCTTGATACAAACCACATGTTAGCTCTTAAGAATAGAGTAAATGTTGCCACCTTATTTACAGCAAACGGGGGAAAATATTTTAATTCATTTTTCTTGAGAGTAAATATTTATTTATTTATGAGCAGAAGTAAATGATCGAACAGAAATAATTGATTTAAAAATTTTACGTAATAATTATTAAATTTATAATTTAAAAATTATATATATCAATAAACAACCTTTCTCACTAGAGGGAGTATGAAAAAAAGCAGCGTGTTTTTCGGAATGTAAACAACGTGGGCGAATGGCAATTATTGCAAGCCACGATCTAGGTTGGTTGATATGCCATAAAACATATCTTAATCGCATGTATAATACATGTATAGATCTTACTACTGAAAAAAGAAGCGAATTTCGTGTAAGCGTGCTCGATTCTATATTTCATATTGAAAATCATTTCGTAATGGACAGTGCAGCTAGAAAATTAGCGGATAAACAATCGTCGTCACGTATAAAGGTAGATTTTTAATTTATCCTTCGTAAAAGTTATTATATTCATCCGATTAGAATATTTCTTAATGTAAACTGTTGTAAATAAACATTTTTCATATGAATTCCAATATTTTATCTGTAATGTCTGTCTTGTGTAGTGCAGTTATTATAAGTTATTATATATCTTCAGTTAAATCAATGTAATATCATTTCTAAAGATTGTAGACCATCCAAAATCAACAAGAGTAGTCAGGACATTTCTATAAAGTATTTTGCTCCAAAATTTTTTTACATCTTAATTCTATATGCTTAAAATGGAGTGGCATAATTCAGAAAAATTTGTATTACAATCCATGATTGTTATTGATGTTTTGCTCATGTAGACAGTTTTATACTCCTAATTTTTAGTGTCACTTCCATTCATTGTTACATCTGTATTAAATATATGCCACCAAATAATGTCATGTTAGCACTACGTGTGTTTGTAAGATAATGACAAAAAATTATATGTGTGAAAAATATTAAGTGTTAATGCTAATGATCAAATTTTTTGCTAGTCATTAAGTACTAAACTGTAGAGAATCATATTCCATGAAGTGTTTTGAACCTAAGGTCTTTTTATTTTGTGCTCCAATTGTAGGTTTGGTAATCTATATGTTTTAATAACAATTTATTTGAGATTCAAGGAATTTCAACAATAAGATATTCAATTTAATATCATAATTGAATCATAAAAAAAGGCCCCCAAAATCTGTGGTCGTCTTATAGGACAGATACAAAAAAAAATTTGATTGAAATNTTATTTTGTGCAAAATAAAGATATAATTTTTAATGATACAACAGCAATGATTATTATTTTAAAAAAAATTTTGTTAGGCTTAACATCAATGAAAATTCAACGTGAAGTAGGTTAATAGCAATATACTAATATACTATACTAATAATGTATTTTTTCATACTTTTTGATTATCCGTTTTTTCAGTTATCCAACCAACCCCAGTCCCCAAATGAGTCAGATAATCGATGCTCTACTGTATATTTAGCTATAGTATAATTGAGATGGGTTGATAATAAGCACAGAGCCCAAACGGTTAGGAGTTGAAAATTGAAATTTGGTACACAGTTAGGGTACACAGTTAGGGTACATCACAAGAATGCACACTAAGAAGGGATTTTTGGAAATTCCTCCTGTGGGGGAGAGGGAGAGGTTAAGAATTAAGGATTACCCCGAAGAACTCAGCTTCTACTGTACTATTTTAGATGCCTTTTTTTGCATTTTTGCAGAAAATTGAATAAATTTTTAGACCCTTCTAAAAATTCTCAACCAATATTTAGCATTCCATTGTATTTAAAGTTGACACGTTGAGTCCTTGAATATAAGTTTGCTTTATTCAAACTTTTCGTTTTAATGTTTGAATTTATCAAAATATATATAAATGGTTTGCTGTATATTAGTTAATATGACAATTTTAGCCTCTGTAATCCAAAATTATTCTTGGTGGACAAATCTCACAGCAATCGTATTGGCAAATTAAATTTATTTTGTAAAGACTACATCAAATGCATTTCGGGCTGGTCTAATATTTTCCAGTCCCTCTTCAGTGCTAAAACAATAACAAAGAACGTAAAATGTTTGAATTTATATTTATGAATGATTCAGAAAAATCCAGCTTATTTCCGGAATTAAGTAAACCTGAAGAAGAACCCAGAAAGGATCATGAAAATGTTTGTTATTCATCACTTAGTGGTACTACGCACTGGTTAATGGTTGCAGTGAGTCTTAATTATCATTATCCTGGCATAGTAAGCAGATATCTAAAAATTCTCTAATTAGTCTTGAAAGATGGGGACATAATTCTTGCACCCAGTGAAAATAGGTAAGACTGACTATAGTTTAATAATCTTAATCTTTGTTATCATTACTTTTTGCCCGAGAAATGCCCGGCTCATCTGCTAGTATATGATTTACCTCAACAACTTTGTTCATATGCTGTAAACTAATCATATAATCTTCTGTACATGCTATGTCTGATGGTGAATGTCCACATCCAACAACACGCACATGCTTTTTTTCATCTGTAGCCAATGCAAGAATCTAATTAGAAACAAAAGAAGAAAATACAATTAATCATTTAAAATTATAATATTGCTTTTATTAATATTTAGAAGTATCATTCATACTTGAGCAATTTCGTCATTTGTCTTGGGTGCAAACAACAATTCCGGCACACAGCTGAAGGTTTTAGACCAGTTGGTAAAATTAACACCAGATATTCCACTTGCCTATTAAAATAGAGTTCACTTAAATACTTAAACAACATTAGATATAACTAAATACAGTCAATTTCATTTAATCGAGCCACCGGTTAATCGAAGCAAACGCTTTATTGGACCAAATCTCAAAGAACACAAACCAAACTAATAAATTAATACATAATTTAATCAGTTAATCGGGGCAACTTTTTGTTTAATTGGACAGTAGCAGAAAAGGAATTTAGCAAGTTTTGATATATTTTAGGGATCTTCCAAAAATATGTAGACACTATGTACACTAATGTCCTGTAGGCCTAACGATTGGCAGAGACAAAGCGATTTTCTCTTTTGCTCGGGCAGTTCAGTTTTTCCAGAGGTGATCACCATAGCAGGAAGTATCACATGAGGATCCCATCTGAGATGGACCTGAATGTGAGCTACTGACCTTGCTCTGGAGTGGACAAGACAATCATTTTAAAAGTGAAGGGATAAAGATCCCCAGATAATTTTTCAAGGTCTGTTGACTGAGTTGCTAGAGTCTCCTTGAAAGGTACTGTGTGCATAATTACGTCTAGATTTGAACAGCAGCCATCCAATCCATAGAATCCATGCGAATTCTATGAATGCTCCTGCCGAAATGGCCCATCTCCAAATAAAGGAAACTGTGCTGAAAGGAAGACCATAAGATGAGTTTTGGATGAATCCTTTCCTTTCTCCCTTTTTAATTAGAACATGTTCTTACTAAAAAGGGAGAAAGGAAAAATTGTTCGATCAGGAACGAATTGAACAATCAACCCTTGTGTATGTCATTAGTAATACTGTATTTGGCAACATTAGTGTGATGTGAATCGGTTATCTATTGTCGTGAGTCTGGCAAATTTATAGTACATATTTCTACATATTTGCCATACAAATTTAAACATTTGTCATAGCATATCATCAGCTTTTCTATGCCTTCTGCACACTCAGTTACTGCCAAGTTCTTGAATCAGTCATTAATGGCCTCCTTCAGTTCGTTGTCACTTCCATAGTGATTCCTGGCTGAAATATCCTTTAATTTTGGGACAAGATGTAATCACTCGGAGCCTAGTCCGGGCTATAAGAAGGATGTTCAAAAACTTCCCACTTAAACTGCTGAAGCAAGTTTGTCAACGCAGCAGCATGAGAACATGTGTTATCCTGAAGAAGCACAATGCCTCTGGGCTCTACTACTACTACTACAAAGAAAGGGCTGCCTCAAAGGTACAACCTGGAGGTTGAAAAGATGGTGAAAGAAGAGGAAGAGAGAAGGCAAGTGATGAAAAGGAGAGCAAATGCCTCTGGACAACAGTCCCTACCGTTTGTTTTGAACTGAAGCTTCATTCATCACATTACCATAAACCTTGGTTATTATGTTCGACAGCTTTCTTAGCAATGATTTTGGACAAACATACTGTATAGCATACGCCGATGATGTATTTATGCTAGTAGGAGGAAGATCTAGGGCTGAATTAGAGGCAAAAGGAAATGGTTTACTGCAAGAGATATATAATTGGGGTGACAGGCACAAATTAAAATTCAACACCAACAAAACAAAAGCAATTGTTTTCAACAAACCGAGAAAAGCCAATCTTTACGCAAGACCTCCGCATCTGAAGATGAACGGGACAACAATTAAGGTTGAGAAATCGTTAAGATACTTAGGAGTCATATTAGATTTTAGGCTGGCATGGGACAGTCATATCACTCACATTACTGAACGTACTGGCCTGATTTGCCAGATCTTCTCCCAAGTCGCCAAACAGAAATGGGGTCTAACCTCGAAATCATTGTCAATAATTTATGATGGCATATATATACCAACAATAACATATGCTTGTGGTACCTGGGGATGGGCCATTTCCAAGGTCCACCCCAGGAGAAAAATGATCTCGTCCCAAAGACGCATTCTACTATTGATTTCAAAAGCATATAGAACTACAAGCAATGTGTGCTTGCAAGTAATAACTAGAAAACCGCCGATTGACCTTATAATTGACGAAAAGAAAAAATTATTTAGACTTAAAAGAGGAGAAAATATCAAAATTGGAACCAGAGACATAAATTACCATGATGTCGAATGGCCATCATCATTTAGCTGCACTATCTCATCGGAGAATTCCATACTAAGCCAAGATAATACCATAACAGAAGATACCATACTTATATATACAGATGGTTCCAATCATAATAACAAAGTGGGATGCAGCTACGTTATATATAAAAACGGTAATGAAACAAACTACTGTAAATTTCGTTTGCTTAACGAATGTACGATCTTTCAAGCCGAAATGTGGGCTATAAAAATGGCCATTGAATATACTAACAGCAACTTCAACAATAACAAGATAAACATCTATACGGATTCGTTCTCATCGGTTCAAACCATTAAAAACAGAAATCTACACCCAACTGCCGAAAAAATAAGAGAGCTGATATACTTATCGACAAACAAATACAATATTGAATGGGTAAGAGCCCATCAGGGCGAAATCGGTAATGAGAGAGCTGACTTCCTGGCGAAGGAAGCTGCAGCGGAAGACACCCTACCAATAGCATACAATAAAATTAGTAAAAGAATAATTTGCAATATTTTAAGAATAGAAACCATCCATCAATGGCAGGAAAGGTGGAACCAACACAGCGAACATATTACTTATAAATTCATCACAAACTTGAAAGAATTTAATAATAATAAGTGGTATAGACCTACCCATTACATTTCGCAGTTTCTTACAAATCATGGCAAGTTTGCCACTTATCTAGAAAGATTCAATCATTGCAACTCAAAGATCTGCCCTACTTGCAAAATGGAAGAGGATGGATCGTTACATTATCTTTTCCGTTGCCCAACTTTTGAAAGGGAGTGACTCGAACTTCGAATGGCAACACAGGATCAAGGAATAGCTTGGCCTTGCAAGCCGTCCGCGATTTGGTCCTCTAAGAACACCTATATGGCCTTTGAAAGACTCTGCAAACAAGTCAACTATATAAATAACAGTCAGAACTTCAACTAGTGCATTTATTCTCAACATCTGTTGCCTTTCATTGATTATTTCTACATTATTGTAATTTTCACATTCATCTCTTGACACCATACAATACTATGGTTCTTTCCCTGATAAGAAATTAGGCTTTCTTGTAAACTTTATTCTCATGTTAATTTTTATTTTTACTGTCCACTTTATCATTTGTTAAATATCTTTTAATGTTTTAAACAATATTTTGATATTACATGTAAATATTAATTCTGTATTATACTTCCTGATAATGCCATTAGCGGAATCAGGTTATGTACTAAGTTTTGTACCTAAATAAAAAAAAAAAAAAAAAACCTTGGTTATCTGTAAATTTTGATAGGGCAGACTTTTTTCGCATTCAAAAAGCGTATTACACTACAAACCTCACACTTGGTGAGATCTTTAATTTTATCACACATTTCAAAGTCACACTGTAAACAATAAACAATCATTGTGGCTTACTGTTAGCATCAGACTGGCGTGAAAACACGGAAAGGTTCATGATGCAACAGTGGAGGATAGTGGGAGAACTGAATGGTTTGTCAGATCAAAATGTTCTTTTCTTTTAGAATGACCCTCGTATCAAACTATTATTAAATAAATTTTAAAAGTTTTTGTACAGTGAAGAGATGTTTATAAGAATAAGGTCTTGTTTAATGTTTGTATTAAGTTATATATTGTATTCATTATTAATTATCATTATACCATTATCAGAACCATCCAAAGTGTTTCAAAGGCATTAGTTCATCTGAAAAATGCTGAAATCGTATTTCCGACAGAATCTGAACTTCCATCTATTATGCAGGATTTTTCTATATTATCTAAGGATAATGTTTGGAATAATTAGGGCAATTGATTGCACTCATATTCCTATCCAGTGTCCTGATAGCAGTAGAGCTCAAATTTTTAATAATAGAAAATCCTATTAGTCAGGTGAGAATTATTTACATACAATGTCATCTTTACTTAATTATGAGGTTAAGAAAATTACATATTTAAGTAAAATTTCAATAAAATACAATTTTATTGTTCTCCACAAATATTTTTGTAACTGTTTTATTGTAGCTTAAATAACTATTAAATATGCAATGGCCTATATATTTTTCTAAGATTTTAAATTGTTATGCCTTGTTATGAAACAGTTTTATTCTTGACTATTTGTTTGACATATCAAAGATATTTGATATGTCGAACTGATTACAGTAGACCCCCCTATAACGTGGGTTCCTGTAACAGAGATTCCTATAACGTGGCGAAAAAATTGTGACGGTATTCGTATAAAGACGCTAAAAGGGTCTCGTAAAACGTTGTCGCCGACTCGTGTCACGACAGGATTGGTCGAATCTGGACCAATAGTAGACGATCAGCTGAACTACTTACACGCTACAGAGTTTAGGCGAGTAAGTTGAGTTTACTATCGTCTGTACAGTATTATATATAAATTAGGTACTGTATATATAATTATATATTAACTTAATTTATTTTAACTTTATTATAATTATATATATATTATCCGTTGTCCAGCGCTACGCTACGGAGAGTTTAGGCGAGTAAGTTGAGTTTACTATCGTCTGTACAGTATGTAAATTAGGTACCGTAAGTCTAATACAGTATTGTAATTTTATACATTTCTTGTGAAAGAAACATTTTTAATTCAACGGCGATTAAAATTATTTATATTAATGATGTCTCCAAAGTT